ATGTTTTTTTTGCTCATTAGCGGTTCTCAAAGTCAAACGTAGAAAAAAATTCACAGCAAGATTTTGCGAAATTGGATGTTGCCGGTACGGCAGCTTTCAAACTCCGCTCTGCCCTGTCAGCATCTGTCAGCGTGTGTGCTCGACATCGTCATTGCTGGCGTCGACAGCGCCAAAGCATCAATCCGATCATTAATCGTTGTCGTAATAAACGCCCTGAATCATGTCACGCTCTGGACAGAGAGGTCGAGGTGGTGGAGTCCGAGCCAGTGCGTCTGCCAGTATGGACACTGGGAAGAAATGCACTATCCATTGGGAGGGGGTTCGTAGTGCTCGTACGGAACGTCTACTTGCCTGGTGCAAGGAAAATGAAGACGCACGCATCAAGCTTTTCTCCGATTCTGCAAAGGACGCCAAGGAGCAAGGTCGGAAGAAGAAGCAGAGTGGAACTTCGAGAGATACCTTCTATTCACAGGTCGCACAAGCTGTATTTTCAAATGACGAGGATCCGGAGGTCCAACGACTCTTCAAGGAGGACCCAAAGGCATTTATTAAACCAGTTTCAACTCGTTTTGGCACGTACGTATCTCAGCCCTGCATTGTCCCCCCTCCCACTAGAATCACTGATCAGATGTTTTAGGCTCAAGAAAAAATATAATGAGTTCAACAAGGAGCTCAAGCAGTCAGGAGCTGGAAAGACGTATGCGGAGCTGCAAGAGGATCCAACGATGAAGTCGTTGATCGGTAAGTTTTAGCTGCTGTTGAACTGCACATGTCTTAATAATATCTCTGTCAGATACAAAGCTTGAAAAATTTCCCTGGTGGCCTGAGCTTCATGGCTGGTGGCGCACAAACCCAGCTTTCAATTACGCCTTCTCTACTGCGGATACAGGGCAAGATTTTGCGGCCGCTGCATTAGAACACTTTGCTATTTCAAAGCAACCACCAGCACCAGCCACAGGCGACGACGACACTCACACAGACGAGGATATCGAAGACGGAGAAATAGTTGAGATTAGCGCTCGTACTACAGGTGATGCTGGCGTTATAGATGCGCCAGATGATATGATGGTTGACCAGCCCCCCTGCATGGAGTCACTCGAATCACCGTTGTCAGCACCATCGCCGCTGTTATTTTCGGACCATGGTCCTAGCGACACGCCCAACTCATTCTCACTAGCTCCATTACCACACTGGTACCAACGACCCCAACTCCCTCCCATCGCAACTTCCAACACACACGGCGTGATATCATTGAACTCTCCTGAGCGCTCACCAGTACCCCATCACAGCACCACCCAGAATTCACCTTTTTTTTCTGATTTCAAGGAGTCATCACCTAGCCCCCAGTCCACACCCATTGACTCGGAAGACTCGGACATTGGTGCTAGCCGAGCGCTGCAGTCTCTTCGTGTCAGCTCACTCAAAGGAAGTCGCGCAAGTTCACCTTCTCTTTCTACAAAGCAGTCTCGTGCACATGCACCTACTCAGAGTGCTTCGCCTCAATCTAGTCGCCCCCCCTCTTCATCACGCAAACGCCCTGGTGGCAGCGTTCTTGATCAGACCTCTGCTGCTGCAGATAGGATGTCTCAGACGGCAGAGTCCCTAATGACACACCTTAACAGCAAACGTGAGGGTCGTGTGGAGCAAGAACGCTATAAACGCATGAAACTTGAGACCGAAATTTGGGCTCGTGATCTCAAGGCCCGCAGTGCTCGTGATGAGCGGGAGCATGCGATGCGTCTATCTGACCAAGATCATCTCCACCAGCAGGAGAGGATGACTCAACAAATTGAATTTGCAAGAATTGAGATTGAGCTATCTCGTGCACGTCGGGAGGAGGAGGAGGCTCGAATTCGTCGTATTGCCTTGGAGCGTGGTCTTGATCAAAACTAAGTAGGTTTGTACTATGTCGTCATGTAACAGGTTTTCAGGAAATGCATTCCATTTTGTACTCGATGGTGCCAACTCAGAGAGCTCGCCAAAACACTCCTTTCTCAAGAAAATCTCAAGCTCAACCGACCCCTCCTAGAGCTCGCCAAAACGCTCCTTTCTCGAGAAAATCTCAAGCATGACTGACCCCTCTTTAGGTACTAAAGAGGACGAAGAACTTCTACTTGACAAAGAGCACTCACTAAAACGCTCCTTTCTCGAGAAAATCTCAAGCATGACCTTGCGAGCCAAAAGGAAGATGTATAGGTACAAGTACATTTAATATAATACTAACTACCTTCGCTCCAACGACGAAAGCAACCGCGTCTTTAACATGTTACGAAAATCCTGCCCCACAGTTCCAATGTAAGTCTGATCACCTACTGCGCCACCCTCTTGCTGATCATCCTCTCCTCCGTCACTGTCAGCTCGCCTGGACCTCCGAGTTGGCTGATAGAAGCGTATGTTTGAGTCTTCGCGGTTTCTTTTTTCCTCAATTTCAACAATTAAGTTGTGCAGAATGAAGCACGAACGGATCCACATGTTTGCATAGTCGAGGTCCTTCTGGCTTTGGATCGGGATGCGAAGCTCCCGCAGTGATTGGAACCGGCCCTTGATAGAGCCGAAAAAGTGCTCTGAACGAACACGGACCTAGACACTGGGTGAGGACTACGAAAGTATATTAGTATCGATGCTCACTGTTGACAGGTTATAATTGAATGTCTTTTGCTCGGCCGTCAAGCACCCTCCCGCTGGCCGTTTATACGGCGGCACACACCAAGTTCGCGCAGCATACGCCGAGTCTGCCCACAACCACTCTCCCGCACCAAAAAACGACTTGGGATCCCGGGAGACCCTCGTTCGTGCAAATACGTTCGAGTCGTGAAGACTCCCGGGTACGCCAATGACATAGTCGATGATACGCAGATTGTGGGGAAATACGACGACCTTTCGAATTGTAAGTCACTGCGCTGCACACTGAGCCGATAGTAGATACTTACCTGCGCTGTTAGAGAGTAGTCAGAGTTCTTGTCAAAGAACCCTTCACCGTGCCAACCAGGCTTCTCGTGTAGAGGGGACGGAGTCCCATCTACACAAAGAAAACCGCCGCGCCACTCACGACATGTCCTCTGCTCCACGTACGCTTTTGCCCGCTCTCGCTCGATCTGATCCTCACGATCGAGCGGATCAAAATGAATGGCGCGATCGTGCAGTTGCAAGATCGCGATCATGACTCGTTTGTAGCAGTTGTAGACGGTCCCTACGGACACTCCAGCCCAATCAGATATGTCTTCGGTAGTCGCAGCATTGCCATAATGGCCGACACCATTGAGAAAGATCGCGAGCTGGACTGCAACAGGAAGTTGTGGATTGTTCGAATTATTATGGAAAATGGGGTGGGCTTGGATTAACGTCGTGAGTTCATCGAACACCTCTGCATCAACGCGAAGCTTGCGGCGAAACTTTTCAGGTGATAACAGCGCCCATTCTTGCAGCAGGTGTAGCTGCGGTGCGCGAGTCAGAGATGGACGCACGTCAAGTACCCGACACTTCTCCACTTCATCGTGCAGTGCCCCGATCGCATCAATAAAATGCGTAAACACTTGATCACACATGTCCGGGATATCGAGCGATAGAACATCGGAATACGCTGTCGAAAGCGATGTTAGAGAGCTGATGGACAAAGTGGATATGACGGATGACGTAGGGGACTCTGGCCATGTTGGCGACGCAGTCCGTATGCTGACATCTGACCCTCCATGACTACCGGTAGTATCATCATCCGATCCCTTATCAGAGCCATCCTCAAGTAGCTCATCAACCATGAATTCGACGAACTCCATGTATCGCGCGACTGTAAGATCATTTGTGGTTTTCTTCAGGCTACGTAGTAGCCTTTTTCGATCCGATTCTCGAGGCATGTTGAAGATGTTATTATTGAAGTCCGGAGACCGTGTCTGCGCCCTCGAAAGTCAATAGTTATAGATATGATGGTCACCGTAGGGTACGATGATGATGGGTCACGGTATGTATGAGTTTGATTTGTCATCGTCGGAGATTTAATTATCGGCAACTCGCAAAACTCTTACCTCTCGCAATTTCTATGATTTTAACTTTGAGGACCGCTATTGTAAATAAATCTGGTTCGGTTCACGTTCGAACCTGAAAATGACCGGACCTGACCATTCTGAACCGTTCACCAAGGTCCAGTTCGAGGTTCGTCGAGTCTGGTAGAACCGGACCTAGGTCCGGTTCTTGGTTCTCGCTCGACCCTCTGTGAACCGGACCGAACCGGACCACGGCAGCACTAGCCACAATCGCCGCTTACTGTGGGTCCCACTTTCCAAGGGCACACCGAAAGTGTTCGGTCTGTGGCAATCTCACTCGACGGCAAGCGCATTGTATCTGGTTCAGAAGACAAGACCATCCGTGTGTGGGATGTAGAATTCCTTAACCAGCCCCACCTTTCCAAAGCGCCTGCAATATGCCTTTCATCTAACCCATCCTACGCTCTTCATTCCGCCTCATCCTTTCTCCAAGATTCTTCGACCCCAGTCTCTGTTGCTGCGAATGAGGATGGTTGGGTTGTAGGTCCTGACGGACGGCTTCTTCTCTGGATCCCACGCAATTTCCACCCGATGATGTATGTTCCAGGAAACACGCTGGTAATACACGATCATGTCTCGCAGTTCGATTTGAGTCGTCTTGCGCATGGCACGTCTTGGCACACGTGTCGGACACAGGAGGCTGCTTTGTCTTCGTTATGATACCCTTGTATGTTGCGCACGCACTACACATGATTCGTACCACACTTGTTTGTCGTCAGGGCTTATTCAGTTCACTTAGTCACGTACCAATCAAATTTCGCTAAGGTCATGAACGTGTTGTCCGATTTAGAGACTGAGTCTTGATCTCCGGTCACACAATAGCACCAGAAGTTTCATCTCTTCGCTTGATCACATCGTTCCAATGTGCATTAGTGACGGTCTCCACGGCGCTACGTAGGCAGACCCTTGAATCAAAGGAAGACAGTTGTGCATAGCCCCGACTCCGAGCGCGTTCTATCGTGTCACGGTGGCACTGCGAGGCTATGCGAGATTCATGATTCAGGTCGATTCAACATTTCAGGAAGAACAGCTTGCCTGAAGCCCAATAAGTATTTCCAGTTGGTTCCGAACTACATGACTCCCGGCCGTATCAGTATTGAAGCGGAGAACACAGGCTGAACTTGACTTCAGGTCCGATTTTCTTCTGAAGTTGGCACCTCACGAGTTACATCAAATTAATCAGTGACACTCCTGAAGCGCTTTATATGTCCAGGGTCCAGGGATGATGATTATCCTCAGCGCTTTCAATCCGGCGGTGCAAAGATTGTTGCTAAGGGCTAATTATGTATGACAGACGTGACTTCAAGAGTCCATGGCCACTTAGATTCATTCATCTTTCCTCCAAAACATACTTCCTTTTTCTTTTCCTTCGTCTTCTCCATGACATACTCTATGCGTCTCGTTCAGCGGGAAGGGCGCAGGATCGCCCGTTTTCTGCAACGGCGCGATTCTAACGCTAGCGCTGTCTCTAGTACATCTTCCGCACCTTCACCTACTACTATCCCTGAAGGACCTGAATGGGCACTTCCACCGACAACGACGCCTGTAGCCACTTCAAAGAATTTCCCTGTTTCAAGCCAAACCCTTATCGCACTTTCAATCCTTGTGTTTATCGTCCTTGGTATGTGATCCTCTATGCCAATGATGTCATGTGGGCTTTACATCTATCAGGCATCGCGTTCTGGCGCATACGAGTGCTGAGAAGGAAATCCATCAAGGGCAACGCTGACGTTGCGGATAGGGGAGATGTAGAACGACAGAAAGATAAATGGCTTGCACCGTCTACAACTAATCCCCTAGCTCTTGACACTGTCGCGGCACCTGCTGGTGTTGGCTGGGCACCACAGTTTCGCTCGATTAGCGGTCCTGAGTATGTAAGAGAAGCTGCCAAAGAATCCAAGCCACTTCCTCCCAAGCGATCACGTTCTCCACCGCCATCTCTCGTTTCTATACCATCTCAAGATCCCTTTGTTGACCCCAGACCTAAGTCTGCTCCTCCAAGGTCACCCGGGACTCGTGAGGTGGACCGCGCCATTAACATATCATCTCCGTCGTCCCCTCAGCCCTATGCTCTCTCTGTAAGTGGATATCAGGTTAGAGGTCTCTGGACGAAGGAAAAGGGAACACGAGATTGGGATGTTTGAATTACTGCAACTTTTGCATAACCATGATGATTCAGGACGACTGCTTATGATGTCAACTGCAAACTCAGCGGAATCCTACTACAGTCCACTAGCTACATTTGGCTTCGCTTTGGTTTTAGGTATCCCCTTTTTTGACATCTCTTCGGAGACCTCACTGCATAGGTTTAATGCGTATTCCGCTCTTTAGTAACCCTTAATTTATTCTATGGTTAATTCGTTTACGGAGCACGTTGAGACTGAGAGGTGAGGACGAAGCATGCATGGTAAATCTGTCAGTTACTATTGAAACACGATTTACCAAATACAATGTCAATTATGGAGGGTAAGGTGCAAAGTTACTCAGCAATCTTAGGACATAAACATCTCATTCCTCCGCAAATCGTGCTTTCCGTCTAAACCTAGCTTGGTCACGCAACCACTGTACGAAATAGTAAATTCATTGTAGGGGAAGCTAAGAAGCATACGCACTTGTCGATATTGGTGGAGAGATCCAATCTTTTCACCTGTGGTACCGCGGGCATAAAACACGTTTCACATTCACAATTCGAGCATCAGTACTTACCATAGAAATCTGGCACAGGGTTCGTGGCACTTTGAGCTGTGGGATCTACGCGATTCTTCACTATGTGTCGGTGAAATTCCCGGTCTTTAGCTTCTATGAGGTTCATTGTGCGACGGTGGGTCATTCTCCAACCTGCAGCCCCGATAGTGGGGCCAATGAGATATCCGAGTCCTAGGCTGAATTAATGAAGGTCGCCTTGACATAAACAAAATGTCTTACCCATGCATGAGACCGTGCAACCGCTGTAGAAAAACAACGGATCTATCCCCTGCTTCTATGAGAAAGAAATACAAGCATATAACAATGTATTACACACCATGATAGGCTTCGTCGCGTCTGACTCCAGAGAACCAAAGTATGCAAGTCCTCCCACCAACCCGAGAATACATGCCGGAATGGTAACGGCCTGTCATGCGTTCATAGCCTATAAGAAAACGCAAACATAAATTCCAGCTAGAGTATCTCACAGTTTCCCATTTTCGTTTACTTTTGCGAATCTCTAGATATTTTGACCAGGACAAGTTCTGTTGTTCTGCCTCGGAGACCGCTGTGTTTGAGTTATGTCTGATGTTCAAGACTGCCCGACAGCATATCCGTGACGGCGCGAGGCGCACTTCATGACGGCTGACCCTTGCAAGAGGCACTGACATTATGAGAAGGATAGAGTTGTCCTGTTTTCCTCATTTCAACCAAGCCAGCCAGCAACAAAATACCAAGAAAGGAATGTCATTCCCACACCTACGTTACGAATTGTTATCTCCGGCGTTGCGGCTAGTGACTTCAAGTTGTACTACAGCAAGTCTGTCTCAGCAATCATTCCACTGACCGTCATCACCATCACCTCTGTCTGAGGACAGCCTGCATACATGGACGGAGTGAGATCCTGTCTACTGTGCTGTCAGGCATGTGTAGGAGATGGCGTGGACAACGAGCACGACAAATCGAACCCCTTTGCCCTCGATAATCTGTTATCTGCGGGAACCATCAGTGTAGATGTTCAAGGCCGCCATTTGCACTGCGCTCATAGTCACGAAAGTGACACCTGGCATCCAGTACCATCGCAACAGCTGCCTGTTTGTGTAGAGGATGATGTATTTTGTAAGATCTCTTTTCTGACTGAACATCAATTTCTGCGTGCTACCTGTCGTCTTGGAACGAGTCAACGAGTGTTATACATTCGAATATACCTCGTACCTACCGATTCTCCAATTGTCAAAGAAAGCCTACGATATCGTACCGAAGTTATTTTGAAAGAGGGTCACCGTCACCTTCAGGCCTTACTACCTTCGATTGTACAGGACCAACGTTCTTGGAATGCAGAAGAGCTCTCTTCAGTCAGTCAGCCTCAGAATTATTTCTTGCCAAGGGATATTGTAAGCACTTCTGACACTGTGATCGGTCTCTAGTAGCTGCATATTTCATCACACAGGATAATCGCACAATGGCGGAGATCTATAATGACCTGCCGTCGTTGGTCTCTTCAAAAATTGCTGTGAGACACGAAATTGGGGGTCTTCGCAGTACTTTGTATGAGTACCAGAGACAGTCCGTAGCCATGATGATCGAGAAGGAGTTGAGCAACCAGCCTGTTCAAGACCCTTTATACATCCCGATCTCAAATATGCATGGCGAACGCTATTACTTCCAACCTTCAACCCTTACCGCTGCGCGTGAATGCCCAACAGTTGCTCGATGTAAGGGTGGCATCTTATGCGAAGAACTAGGTAAGTGCCAGATTATTCTCAACTCCTCGACTTATATATGGCCGCCCATAGGCACGGGAAAGACGGTGATGGTCTTGGGCTTGATCCTCGCTACCCTCAATCAACTATCTCAGCCAGAAGAATCGCTATTGGACTACCGCCCCGTCATGTCTCCCTTGGCCTATCGCACCTTCCCTGCAGATGAGTACCATAATGCTCGAAGAAGGGCCGGCATGCATAAAAGTTTGGCGCTCGATGTAACACGTGTTCCATCTCTCGTCGAAATTCTTCTTCACCATATAAGGACGTGGGGTGACAAGGTGGACACCCGATCACACGAAGAACAATTAGAGGCGTCTAACCTCTGGCAGCTCCTTCAAGCAAACACGCCATTCTATCACCACTACACTGTTAGATCACCCATGCATGGTCTTGGTTCTTCTCGCACAAGACGTCGAGTCTCAGAATACCCCCGACTAATGCACCTAACGACAGCAACACTTGTTGTTGTGCCCGTTAATCTACTTGGACAATGGGACAGGGAAATTTTGAAACATTGTCATAGCACGTTGAGATATCTTGTCGTCCACCAAACAACGAAAATCCCAAGTGCGAAGGCTTTGGCGTCTGATTATGACGTACGTAGCATTGTATCTGCACCGACACTGCATTGCTAATTTGTAAATATTCAAGTTGATCATTATGACGGATAGTCGTGCGTTTCGATACTCCATGTGTTTTTTCAGTGCTTATTTATTACATTCAGGTTTTCGCAGGGAGTCGGTGAACAACAAAGTTGCTCAATTACATAAACTTAAACCCTGCACGTGTGCTCCGTTTACTGGCAGCCGCGTACCAAACTGTCGTTGTCCCAGCGATCCAGCTGTATCACCTCTTCTTCAAATCCGCTGGAAGAGGTTGGTGATAGACGAAGGCCATACCTCAGGAAACTCGGCCGCCACATTAAATTACTTCGTTCGTGAGCTAAGCATCGAACGTAAATGGATTGTAACCGGAACGCCAACATCGAATATACTAGGGTTGAGCTTGGGGCGCAAGCAGGATGAGGACATAGAAAATGATATCGCCGTTGACAGCACTTACCCATTACCTACTATAACGGATTGCTCTGCATCCGATACCTCTTCAATTTCTGATAGCGGCGCGGAGAACATAGTCAGGGTATGGGGGACGTATGACTACGTCAACTTGCGAAAACTCGGGGCAATGATCAGCGACTTCCTCGCCGTTCCCCAGTTCCATTCTGATCTCAAATTGTTCGGTAGTCATGTTTCTGCACCTCTTTGCGATCGTCGCGGGCCTCGCGTAGGCGCAGTCAAAGTACTGAGTCAGATCATGGAGATGGTCATGGTTCGTCACAGGTTAGCCACATTGTATACTGCTAGAGACTGTAAGGCTTATCTTTCCCAGGATTGAAGACGTTGAGGAAGAAGTAGTTCTACCTCCCATGCGGCATACACCCGTTTACATGGATCTCGATGCCTACGCTGCGAAGTCTTACAATGCAATGCAAGCCAGTATTGCAATTAACGCTATTGACTCTGAACGCGAGGGCCAGGTGCGTGTCTGGCCATGTATCTGAAATTTCACTCATATCGCTTGAAGGATTACATCTTCCACCCCAGGGTGAAAAACTTTCAAATTATTCGCACGATTTGAACACTGACTCTGATTTTACATTAGAATGCAAAAAGTCTTCAGAATGCCATAGACAACTTGTCACAGTAAGTTCTTGGGCCTAGAGAAGTTAATAACTGAAATCGAAATCAAAACTTAGAGGAATGTTCTGGTCGGTGTCCGATATTTTGTTTAACGTCGATCAAATACGACGCGAGGCCCCTAAATTTCTGGCTCGTGCCATCGAAGCCAAAGTGCCTGATCATGATATGGCGCTATTAGAAGAAGCACTAACACACGCGTTAGTCTACTCTCCTTGTCATTGTATACTTGATACTTAGTGACGTCTCACAGAGAGGCAACAGCGAAAGATCCTCTGTGGCGCGCTATGCAACTACATGAAGATGTACCTTTCCGCGTGACGGGGATGGATGCAGCTGTCTTCGAAGCTTGGACACGGGGAAGGTTGAAGGACAGATCTCGTGTTCACGATCTCATGCACGCGAACCGGCTGTGTGATCTACGAGCTCTCATTCGCAGTCGACCTTTGATGAGTCTAGGTCAATTGGTTGAGGAAGGAAGAGAATTGGATTCAAATGAACGAGCACGATGCGAGAAGAAATTGACACAAATACATGATGTCACAAACGCCGCGCAGATGAAAAAGATGGTGTCTGACGTTAAAGACGAGTTGGAGGTCATAAAGGAGAAAGAGAAAGTATATCAAACAGAGGATGTACCTGAAACAGACATCGACATCTTCGTTCGCCACAAGTTGGGGCATCATTCTGCTCCTTCGCCATCTCTACTCCGCTCGTCGCTATTGTTAGAAACATACATCGGGCCATCTCTATCCACCAAATTGAACTTCATCTTATCCGAGGTTAGTACACAGCACTATCATGTGTCACCCACCTCCCATCCTTCTTTCTAGGTTCTGGAGCATTCAGAGAAGGAAAAATTCCTCATATTCTCTAATTCGCCACTCACTCTCGCCCACATCGCAGAGGCACTCTCTTTGATTGAAATCAAGTACCTCCGATATGCAACGGATATGTCTCCGCCACTGCGAGAGCAATGTGTCATGACTTTTGAGTCCTCTGAGACATTCCGTGTTTTCCTGATGGAGTTGAAGCTTGGTGCTCGTGGTCTGTGAGTATATCTTATCTGCATTCATTTTTGTGGTCCCCAATATTTGACAGGAATTTGATATCTGCTTCTCGAGTAATCTTCTGCGAGCCTGTCTGGCACCCTGATGTTGAGGCACAAGCCATAAAGGTAAGATTTTGTTTCAGATTAGACAATTGTTGCCGAAAGAGTTATCAGCGAGCGCACCGTATTGGACA